CCTTTCTCTATAAAAATGAGATATGCTGATGGGATTTACTTTTAAGGAATCTTTTCTCTGTAGATTATCAGTGTTCTGTGTTCTTTTGGACCATTAGGTATTCTCCTTGTAAGTTTTGAGCTAAACAGGCACCTTTCTTCGACTTACTCGTTCATTATTTATGTTGATGCCAGAGGGAAGAACAGTAAGGATTCATCACCAAGTGTATATTTCAGGTTGGTCATTTCCCAGGAGGGATGCAAGTAACTTGCATTACCATTCTAGGATGGTTTGGGAAATGGTATGAGATGGCTTAGATATATATGCAGTGGTTTTAGGAGGTCCTTAGCCCCATGTTGAGAGTCTCTCTCCATCGCATAGTTTGTCAAAGTCATTGTTCTTCTCATAGCTTTAGCAATAGGTCTACTTAGATTGATGCTGCATTGCTGGAGGGGGAAGGGATGTTGTTCTCTCTCTTTGTCTCAAGTTTCAAACATGATGGATTATATTGTCCATTTGGTTTTCAGTCTATTCACTTTGCTTCAGAAAGCATTGTAGTTTGATATTCTTCACAATATTCCCTTTGCATGGCTTTATCCATCTTCCAAAACTAGAGGATAACTCTTCTCCAGATCTGATGGGTATGAATGTGAAATAGGGGGCTTGTACCCTGCTTTTAACTGCCAATTATTCATTAAAGGACAGCCTATTTAGTATTTTCATGAATTCTTTCTCTTATTTGGGTTGTCATGTTTCAATTGGAGGTCATGTGTAATCTAATATCTTTTTGTTCTCATTTGGTGGTTGATGAATTTTCAGAAACTACTATAGATGCACATCTGCTGGGTGCCCTGTCCGCAAACATATTGAAACAGCTGTAGATAATTCAAATGCTGTCATTATAACATACAAGGGCGTGCATGACCATGACATGCCTGTACCAAAGAAGCGACATGGCCCACCAAGTGCTCCACTTGTTGCTGCTACTGCTTCAGCTGCTATGAACAATAGGCAGTTAAAAAAAAGTGATACATCTGAAAACCAGATAACATCAACCCAGTGGTCTGTGGGTACAGAAGGTGAACTGACTGGTGAGGCCCTGGACCTTGGAGGCGAGAAGGCAATGGAATCAGCTCGAACTCTTCTGAGCATTGGATTTGAAATCAAGCCTTGCTGAAAGTGCCATAGCCTGGGCAAGGTATTTTCCATGGATCTTTAGCATGTAAAACCAGGCTAGTGTTTCGTATAGATTACTTATATGTCATGTTTGATTTTTCCTTTCCTTTCTTTTATTATTATTATTATTATTATT